ATCGATCAACCTGTCAGTGATAAATTGGAATATAAAACGATATTATATTGATTGTAACATTATATATTAGTGGCTCAGTGGCTTACTCTTATCTATGACACAAATCCTAGACGAGGTTGTAGATAAGAAGATCGTTGTACTGAAAAATCTATACAGGGTTATTTTTTAAACAGTAGCCAAATTTTAAACTTAGCTTCAAACATATATATATATATATATATATATATATATATATATATATATATATATATATATAATATACCGTTATTGCAGTCTTTGAAAATACGAGTAAATAAGGCTTCTACTTTTATTTGAAATTATCCCAGATTGAATGTGATTTCTGGGAAACATCGTTTTTGTCTACCGATCGACCCTTAGGAATGTGTGTGTGCGCAGTAAAATCAGTTAAAATAATGCATTACCACGCATTTTGAATTTTACAGATAAAAAGGACAGAATATTTGAGATTTTTTTAAACTAATTTGCCTATATTACTTATTCTGAACCTTCTCTGCAAATTTAGCCGGTTATTGCAAAATAACCCTGTATACTGTATACGCGAAGAGAAAATTTTGTACCCCTTTTTAAGAATATTGCGCGCACGGAGTGTGAGATTTGATATAGTTAAAGTTTATATGGAGAATGATTGAAAGAAGGCTAAAATTTATATTTAATTATGTGTAAAACAATAAAAATTTTGTACAACCGACTTCAATATAAAAAGGTTCTCGAGTGGCAGCCTCGTACCGGTAGGAGGAGTGTAGGGCGACCCCTCACTAGATGGAGTGACCACCTGGTAAGATATGCAGAAAGTCGATGGATGCTCGGGATCGTGCTTTGTGGCATTCCTTGAGGGAGGCCTATGTTCAGCAGTGGACTTGTGAAGGGCTGTAATGATGATGATGATGATGATGAATATAAATAAAATGAGAACATCATCAATGTAATCGAAGTCAGTTAAATACGCATTATTAACCCATTTAGACCGATAATTATTTTTGTGAAAAATTCGTGTTTCATTAACAAAAGCTGATCTAAGAAAGCCTAAAAACCGAGGGAAAAATATTTAATAAGGGCACTGAGGGGGCGTACCATATATGGTACAGTAGGACTACATGTATGCAAAAAAGACATTATTTTACTAATTACATTTTATTTACTTTATGGTGTGATACATAATGTTGCGCGCCACTATTAATGTCTTGTATATGGCAACACTAGTTCCCACTAGCGCCCTCTAGTGTCGAGTAGCAGAACTAGGAGAGTCAAGATCCTTCTAGAAATTTCGGGACCGATATTTACTCGAACATTCTAGATGTCGCTACAGTAGAAGGTTCTGGAAACTATCTGAGGCTCTATATAAAGCTGGTATAGACCAAACCGAGTCAGTATTGAATTGGCGATACAAGAGAATACTTCGAAGCGAAACAACTGCGAACTTAAGCGATCAGTATTGCAATTGTGTTTTATTATGAGTGTGGTTTTAGATTGTAATTAGTGTTGTGTAATTAAAGTGTCAATTTTGGTAATTCAATCGGCAGTTTTTAATTGTCTCGAACCCCAAGCTCGTAACAATAATAAAACACTCTACGTGGACACCAACATTGCACTTGACACACCTTGTAGGACATTGTTTGTGGCATAGGCCACACCTGGTCCTCTTTTCATACTTGGTGACATAGTTTTATTTCCCGTCATATCGAGAGTCTGATGTTATTGAAGATGGCCGATTAGGACCTGGTTTTTCACGTTGTTTATTACTATCGATTATATAGTTTGCAATACCGACGTCGAAAGTTTAGCAAGTCGATATTACCACCATTATGTCTGTGCAGCAGCCTTGTATTTTGTACAGACATGTCAATACAGTGGAGAATCAAAGGCATATACAACTTTTTCCTCGAATGCTAGTTCGCAATGACGATATTTTCTGATCTGATAAATTTACTCCACCACTTTCCAGATCTATCTCTGATAGTACCGGTTACACGAAATCCCTTGAGTGAGTTCATGAACCAAAGGCAAAGCGGTAAAAAGTTGTCTATGAAGAGATGGTAGTTTTTTCCATAACCCAATGTTGCTAGTTGATCTGCATAAGACAAAACCACACTTGCAAGAAGACCAAGCTGGGAATATTGGGCATTCCTAAATATAGAAGCACCTTGGTATGGTTCAAACCACGCAATTTAACTTCCTGGTGTTGCACCAATTCATAATTTGTATCCATATCTTATAGGCTTGCCTCTAATAAACTGTTTGCAGCCGTGATTACTAAAATATGGGACCATAGCCTCATTGATACCATGATTCTCCTAATGTAGACAGTGCTCAAGAAACTTCGCGGCTAAAACTTTTAGTAAACAACGAACTTTTGCAAATTTAACGAATCCATTGAACTTTAGATTATCAGCAACATGAATGTTTGAGTAAATTAGTGTAAATCTATCTCGAGACAAGGCTAATGCAATCAAACTATTTCCCAAACCAAACCATTTTCCCAATATATTTTTCTTCTGCTTACTTGGCAATAGCCACTGACTAACAAAATCCCTACCAAATATTTCATCTCTTCAATCTTGACATCAGCAGAGATAAGCTTCCGTGCTAAGTATCTATTGGTTTCAATAGTAAGCATCTCAAATACTTCTGAAAATAATAAAGAAAAACATTCTATCGGGTTACTTTCAATAGAAGTTTGATAAAAAGGTTGCCAAGCAATAGGCCTCAGCTGCAAGTCTCGTTTACGTCAATTGTACTTCATGACACGTTTTTTAAAGGTTCTTGTAATTAATGAGGGGTTTGGACTTCAGTTTCTGGTTCCTCCGTTGAGGTTAAGGCAACAAGCTCCGATGGAGATCGAAGCAAACTTTCAATCATATTATTTGTGCTGACGTTATATTCTTCATTCTGGTCATCATTGCCTATGTCAGGTGAAAGTAAAAAAATATCAAACCCTTGCCGCTGGTTGCTAAAATCATCATCTTCCTCAAGAATTGTAGCAATGTCATGTAATGTCAATGATCGAAAATAATAAAACACAAAATGATACGCAAAAACCATATAATAAATATGTAAATTGACTTAAGTATATTATGCTCATGCATAGACCTACTGTACCATATATGATACGCCTAATCTAGCACTGTGTACACCTTACTAAAATAATCCAAGTGAAACTTATTTGTAGTTATTACGTCTATTGTAGCCTAGGCTTCAAAAAAAAAAACCTATAAATAATATGATTTACTATACATAATATAAAACTTAACTTCTTGAAGACATTGTAAATTGGTTTATTTCCGTTTCTGTCAAGAATTTTTTTTTAATATATGCTCAAGATAACTTGCATAAAATGTGTATTTTATATTGTTGATATAAAACTGATACTCTGAGTTATCTGCCACAACTAACTAAAAAAGTTAATAATTAGTGGGTACATCCAAATATTTTTACAAAGTTACTGTACCACATAGGGTACGGTAGGCTTATATGGGTGATACCCGCCACTTCCTCCACGTTGCTTACACACGTCACTGAACACGTTGTGCTTATAAAAAATCTTTGTTTCTAAAAATTTTAATAAATTTATATTAAATGAAGATATCGAATTATTTTGTTTTAGATAAGGGTCGAGTGTCTAAGAAATAAAACTTAGAAAACCTAATTGAAATCTATCAAGTAGTTTTTCCGTTATGCGCGCACAACTCCTATCATTTTCTGCCGGCACTCAATTCGACGCGTATGTTATTTTTTTATGTGTGTTACCTCATAACTTTTTACTAGGTAGACCGATTTCGATGATTCTATTTTTATATGAAAGCTGATACTTCTCGTGTGGTCCCATATGAATTTGATCAAGGTCAGACCAATAGTTTTTGAGTTATTTGATTTATTCTTAATAACTTATATTGAAGTCGGCTGTACAAAATATTTAATTTTAAATTATACTTATAAGGATTGTATAAACGCTTATACAGTCAGAAAATACAGCATCTAGTATAAAAACGAACTTCAATACAGCTTGTATACGGCTTGCGAGGTGCCTTGGGCCATCGTTTGCTTACGTTAATATTATTAATTAATATTTATTTATTTAATTCGCTTAACTCTCCACCTGATGGTAAGTTAATGCTATGGTCCATAAACATCTCCATCCATCCTCGATTCAGAATTAAAATATAGACGCGTTATCACGCCTGATGACTAAGATAGAATGCGTCGGGACTCCGGTTTTCCACACTCACCATACGTAAGACAGTAGCATTAATCTGCTGTTTCACGGTGGTATTCGGTGATAGTATGGTCCTACCCCGGTCGAACTGACCCATTCAGGCTGTAATTCAATATATAGCTGCAAATACGTACAACACAATAGTTGTGGTCAAACAAGCACAAAGTAGAGATTGTCGCCCATTTTTATCGCCAAAGAATTTGAAAATAATGTCAACAAATGATTACTGACAGATTGTCTGAATGAGTTGTCAATTTTGTGTGATATCACATCACTTTTTCAACAGTCTTTGAAGTGTTTATCAAGGAAAAAATGCGTTTATTTTATATATATTATATAGTCCCCTCCCCCCACTATATTTTAAAACTTTTTTCCGAATGCTTAATGTTAAACTAATTAACGAAAGAAGTTTTACGGCCAAATAGTTAAACGTCAATTTTGAGATGCCGTTGTATCTCATGGTGCCACAGTCACTGACTTATTGATGGGGACAACACGAGACTTAACGACATCTCATTAGTGACGAAAACAGAAAATCCCTTCCAAAAACGCTGACCAAAATTTTAACAACAAATGCGATAAAGTCAGTGAAATGGTTAAAGAGTGATTTTAAAAAGGCCGCTGTGTACCTGGAAAAGTTCTTGATGACCATGATGATTATGATAAAAACAGAACTAAAACTGAACTCTTTTAGTTCAGTTTGAATCCTTTGGATTTGATTACTTGTCATTGTCATGCTAATGGTGAACTTATGTCTTTTTTTTTTCAGATTCCGTGCTCTTTACAAAGGACTGTTGCCGAAAGTATTACGATTGGGTCCAGGAGGCGCTATAATGTTAGTGGTGTACGATTACGTATACAATTACTTAGACAATAAGTTTCAAGTCAAATGATGTAGGTTAGTAGGACGACCAAAGAGTAATATGTAGTATTTCTTATTCGAATGTACAATATGTAATATATGATGAATGTTTTCTTAATTGTTGTTAAAATAATATTTTTATAAAGAAAGAAAATAATTGACTCGAGTAACAGTTTTGTACCGATATTACTTCGTAGCGATATCATCGGTGTTATACAAGTCGCGGTACGTGTCTAGCGCTGAACGAAACGTAAAGGGGATAGCTGCGCATGGGTACTGTCACGCACGAATTAAATTGCACGAATGCGACTAGAGAGCTAATCAGCGCGTGCGAACGATACGCCCGCCCGCCCCGCGATTTTCGACTTATGCGCAATAATGGTCACCGCTAGACTTTCGTGCCGCTACCTATAATGGGAAGTATTGTGATATCTTATTTTTTATATCAATGTTATATTCTTTCGAAATCAATACACACACATGTAAATTAACTTTTAATTGAAAATTGTAATTTATCTAATGATTTTGATAATACAAAGTACAAATGAACAATCTATCTAGCATTTAATTTACCACAAGTGTTATATACAAAGGCTAATAATACCTGTAGGATACAGTACAAATGGTATTGTTGACTATCGAATTTTTGTTATTTACAAATAATTTATATTTATATATTTTTGAGTATTTGTTTTATTTTAGCCATAGACAAATACCAATGGACATTATATTGTAATCTAAAGGATTTCCTATAGAAGAAAACGTTTACAAATTATATCAATACTACACCTTCAGGTCTACTAACTTGTGTAGTGTAGTGTCAAACTTACGAAAGTTACCAACGAGAAATGTATTTATTTTACGGATCTTAAACAATAAATAGAGGGTTTAAATAATTATTAGGCCTTTAAAAGTTGAACATTACAGTATTTTTTAACTGAGCTTTGATAATCAATTCGGTCATTTATGTAATTTGATATAATTATATAATTATAGTAATAAGATTAAATGAAGGAAAAATATTAGTTATGCTGGTAACATTAAGTACGCCATCAGTCGCGCGCAGAGTTATCTTATCTTGCGCACACTATATATAGTGCCACCAACTTATCTGTTCAGGTGGACAAAGTTGTAATTAAGGCCGCTATTTTGTAAATGAGATTTCGCTGTCAGGTGCATTTGATTTCATTTTTATAGGGTTTGCCAGATATGGAAAATTAAAATCACCAAATAATGTACTTGTGAAACATATTAGCGGGTTCATCTTCACAACAGGATTTCCTGGAATTTGGCCGCTTGAACTCCGAGATTATGGCCACAATATAATAATAACACGAAATTTGTTTTATTTCTTAGTAGTAATACTTAAATTGTTAAATGCCGAAGGAAAACATCGTGAAGAAACTTGCATATCTGAGAGTTCTCCAAAATGATCTCAAGTTCGCACTAGGCCAGCGTCCCGGGCTATGGTCACCACCACGGAGCAAATACAAAGAGGAGGTGTTGTAATTTAATTTCACTATGTAACAACGCGTGACTATTTGCGGGGTGAGGGGTGTTAAGCTCCGCCCACTTAACTATTCCATCTACCGATAAATAGCAAAACTACTCGCATCGTTCCATAATAATGTTGCAATTTAGTTTAGCTTAGTTGGCGATAGATAGCGGCCTGTTCACAAAATGATTATAAAAAATTAAAAATTCTTTAGAACTGAATGCAAAACAAATTTCAGCGCTTTCGTATGATTATTTTACCAATACTGAGCTCTACGTACCTTTATATTTTTAGTTCCCATGACACAAACTGTCGCCATCTAGTGTCGAATATATTTAATTATATTTGAAAGCCGACGCAAAGAGATTTTTGTAGAACTATTTCAATAAATTACGTATAAAATGACTTACAAATTATATGTCATGCCATCCAAGCATCAGAGCGTCTATCTGAATAGTTTTTACACGACAAAACAATATTTCATCCTTTTCTTCTTAATACTACGAAAATACACAGTATATGTCGGCGATACGCCAGGGTTTTCACGCTCAGAGTCCATCACAATGAAATAGCACGCCAAATATTAAGTAGTTTATTTTCGCACAATTGCGGGTACAGAACGGAACAGTCTTTACAAAAATCAACCGCCTTTATAGTTTCCTTACAAACATGGATATATCAAATACAACTTCTTTTAAATCAAACAAATAAAATTAAGTACTACAAAATAATTCTTAAAATAGAGCTCATTATTCATAACAAATATTTTAATAATTTAAATAACTTCAAATGATTTATATTATATAAATCTTTGTTCATTTAATTTAAATAGACATTAGTTTTTCATAGTCAGTCAAAATCCGGGCTCTAATACTGTTAAGAGGTGGCGCTGCAAGCAAGATTCAAGTGAAATTAAACAAGACTTATTACATAAAATAATAAAATTTGATACAAAGTAATGATATTAATTCTAATAGATATTAATTTGAACATTTACACAGTAAAATGAGTATTTTAACAATAAATGAAGCATCAAACGTCTTCAAAATGCTCAAACAGTCAAAACAGTGTCTACTAAATATCAGAGCTTAATAAATAACGATTTTATGTTTATAAATAACTATATAAATTTAAATCTTACATATTTCAGATATTTCTATACTAATATATTCACTTAAACGATAAACTAAAACATAAATATCAAATTTGCCAATTATTGCCGATAGATGGCGATTTGCGCCCATATATCAATATTTGCTAATTATTGCCGATAGATGGCGATTTGCGCCCATACGGCCATACTGACTCCAGCGCGTCCCTTGCGCTGTTTTTATGACATAATTTCAAACAAGGAATCACCCATACTGGAATCTAGCCAACACACAAGGCATCACCCATACTGGGATCTAGCCAACATACAAGGCATCACCCATACTGGGATCTAGCCCACACACAAGGCATCACCCATACTGGGATCTAGCCAACACACAAGGCATCACCCATCCTGGGATCTAGCCAACACACAAGGCATCACCCATCCTGGGATCTAGCCAACACACAAGGCATCACCCATACTGGGATCTAGCCAACACAAAAGGCATCACCCATCCTGGGATCTAGCCAACAAGACCAGGTTTAAAGGGATACGCATGGTGGCCAGCCAGCGTTTTAGGAAGGATATTGGATAGGAAAAATAAATTTCACGCACACACATTAATAATTACAAAAATAAATCATAAATCATATCAATTATCAACACAAATACAATCACATAGATTCAAGATTGTCCTCAAAGGAAGTGGAAACACCCTCGGTCTCCACCGATTTCTCCGCCCATACGGTCAATTCGTCCGAGTTGTCAGAATCATTAAAAGGGTCTAAAAGGGAATGAACTATGGAAGCAGGACGCAAGGCATCCTGACTTGCAATCTTTTCAGCCACGAAGGTTAACACGTTTAAGTCTATATCGATCATCTATACAAATAAATAAAATTGAAGTGTCTGTTTGTAATGTCAAAATAACATCTTTTTCTAAATGCATATTATGAAAGTGTTTACGGTATTTATAACAAAAAAAAAACAATGTTTCAAATTTTTGTCTGTCTGTTCCGTCTAATCTCCGAAACTGCTGGACCGATTTTAACGGGATTTTCACTGGTAGATAACTGATGTTATAAGGAGTAGCTTAGGCTTCTATTATTTAAGTAAAAGAATTAGGGTTCCGCGCAAAAAAAATTTAAACCCCATGAAATCCAATAGTAACGCGGGCAAAGTCGCGGGGAACAGCTAGTTTGGTAATATTTCTAAAATTTCCATTGAACCTTCAAATTTAGAGCCAAACTTAGTTGTGTCGTTCATGACGCCGCATTAAGACGAAGTCGCCGACTTCAAATAGGCGGATTTTGGCTTTATCTTTATCAAAACAAGTTTCATCCCCAAGGGATCGCTCGTCCATCCATCCCCCAGTAATCAATCTAACCTCCTCTAAATCCTCTGTTAGTATATCATTGCCAACCCGCAACACTAATGGCAGGCGGCGAACATCTTTTCCCTAATAATAATTCCATTGGACTCCAATCTGTACTTTTGGATATTGTGCAGTTTATAGCCAATTGTAACTTGGCAAAGCCACATGCCATGGCCCACCCAGTTCCACAACAGACATGTTACCCTCTACAACCTTTATCAATCGCTCAACCCGACCGCCGGCCCTACCAGGTCCCCCGCCACTACGTGGTGCTGAATCCCAGAACGTTAGCAAAAGTTTTCAAACTCTTGCTCCCATCTTGATCAGTAATTAATCGTGATGAGTCGAATATTGCAATCAAATTCCGAAAACATCAGATAGCAGCCTTACCAACACGGTCATTTGTACAAATCCTATGGACAGTTAGCAAAGCCGTCAATAAATACGAAAGCATATTCAGGCCCACTGCGCTCTCCATTCATTCCCCCAGTCATATCCTTACGAAAGGTATGAAAAGGAACAGCCACTTTGTTAATGGGATGTAAAGCAACCTGTCCAGTGCCAGATATTCCCTTTCTCACTCTACACACGACGCAATTTTCCACAAACCCTCCACCTAATGTAGAGAGAGTCCTATTAGAGAACCTTAACCTTATTAAAAAATAGCGCTCTCGTAATTTTTCAAGAATCTTATCCCAGCGAAAATGTGAAAGGTTATCATGATAATGGGATATAAGGTTCCATTTATAATTACGTGGGACTATAATTAACATTAATTAGTTATTAATTAATTAATGTATCCCGTTATTAATTCGCACCCTATGTCTCAGCAGTTCATCCTGAACTATAACTCAAGCATCTGCGATATTTTTGGGAATCGAATCATCCCTTAAGTGTTCCACAATACTAAGCAGAGTTGAATTGCGCCTCCGCTCTACAAAGAGCCAGCCATGGTCATGGGTAGCAGTATTAACCATCCACACCAAAGATCCGGATTCATTGAATTCCAAACACTGGCTTAGATGACGTCCAACAGTATGTTTAATTGGGTTGCGATTAAAGAAGTCAG